GCTGGCCACGCTCCTCTTAATGCACCCCAGGATACCATTGGCCTTCTTGGCAACAAGGGCACATTGCTGGCTCATCGTCAGCTTGTCATCCACCAGGACTCCCAGGTCCCTCTTGGCAGAGCTGCTTCCCAGCAGGTCATCCCCCAGCCTGTACTGGTGCAAGGGGTTCGACCTCCAGGTGCAGCACTTGACACTTGCCCTTGTTGAATTTCATCATGTTCCTCTCCGCCCAACTCTCCAGCCTGTCCAGGTCCCACTGAATGGCAGCACAGCCTTCCGGCATATCAGCCCCTCCTCCCAGTTTTGTGTCATCAGCGAACTTGCTGAGGGTACGCTCTGTCCCCTCGTCCAGGTCATCGATGAACAAGTTGAACAAGACTGGGCCGAGTACTGAGCCCTGGGGAACTCCACTACCTACTGACCTCCAACTGCAATGGTAATACTGTAAGTTTCAGTGGAACATTTCATGGCAAAAAGAACTTGGAAACTTGAGAACCTACGAAATTTACCTAGGAAAGATTATCTCCCATGCTGAGTTTCTGATAGGTGCTATAGACGGGGCCAACAGGGAAGTATTTATGACTGTCATTCTCCTCTCATTCCTGGCTCAAGTTGCAATAAGATAGTTGATGTTTCTGTACAAGTCAGATAACATCAGGCTTCAGGGATCATTTGGCAGCTAAAAATTACTGAACTGAAGCATGCTCTAACAATATTCCTTCCTGCCTCCATCATACATGAGAAACTGTCACAAGGATTATGTAATTCGAGCTTATTCTGATTTTTAAAAATGGTTACTGAGGACTTCCCATCCTCCATTTCCTTTGTTTCAGGGCAAAGGAAATAGAACAGGACAAGATAAAGAAAAAATATGGTGTTATGTGTTCTATGGCCAGAATAACTAAAATTATTTTTTAAAAGCTTAGGTCAACTCAGGTTTTGGATATAACTGGACTCATCTAGTGTGGACTATAAAAACAGCTATGCAATACGGCAAATTTACTAATTTGCTTTGTCTGTTGGTTGATTGATCAGCTCAGCATACAAG